GCAGGGGGGTTGGAACTGGATGATCTATAAGGTCCCTTGCAACCCAAACCATTATATGATTGTATGATTCAAGTGAAATCAATGGTAACGCACAGCTAATATCCCTGGAAACTCATTCCAAAAAACTTGAATACCCAGGTGCGTCTGTCAACGATAAAATACAAGACACTTCCCCATATCACCATCCTCTGTTGATAGAGACCTCATTCAGTATCAGAAGACCTCATGCCATAGAAATTAATTACACATGCTTACCAATTCTGCCAGTTTTACATCTGTCATCAGAGGACAGAATGATTTTGTTCAGAAATATTACTTGGACATATTTTTCCACATTTAAAGTGGCTTCTCATATGTATTTATCTTCAATAGTAAAACCGGTTAAATTTTTTCCACTGCTTAAAGAAAGGGAGCCTTACCATAAAAGGAAAAGGAGTAGAACGTCTTATGTCTTTCACAGAAAAACAAGTTCTTCAATCATCAAAGACCAAGATGTTAAACTAAACAACCTTCAACACTTCAGTCCCTGAAAACTAATTATTTTTCCAGCATCAGAATATAATTTCAGAAGTTAGTTTCCCCACCAGGGATAGAATACTGCAATAAGAATTTGCCAGCCCTCTTATTTTTGTGTTGTTACATATCTTGAAATGGTTGCCCAAATCAGCTATAAAGAGTTTAGCCAGTTTAACCTCTTAAACATACATACTTAGGCACATTCACGTTCAGAACTTTTCCTTCTGCAGTGACCAATGTCCGAAGAGGCTTCTCTTTCTTTTTTGATTCCCTTAACAAAATGGAAAGAAAAATGGTTTATGATCTCACATTCTGATATTTTATTTTTCATAGCAAAAAAGAAAGCAATGGATGGCAAGAAGTAAGAATTATCTGGTATTTGATGTTAAGGCTACAACTTATTTCAGGAACAAAACAGGTTATATCAAATGTCCAACTGCATATTAAAAGCATCATCTAAAGATGACCAAATGCTTTATTATGTCATTTCTTACATTGATAATAACTTCTTCTGCATGTCACAATGTTCATTATCAAACAGTAATATATCAGATTTATCTGGCATATTGTAAGAAATCAGTGGACTGCTTAAACATATGAAATGGGATGTTTTTCTAGTTATGAATGGTCATACTAATAATGAGATATCATTACTGTTAACTGACTAGATGTATGTGCAAGCAGTTATAAAGAAATTTTTTTTTCATGCTAACTTTATTACTTTTACTGAACAATTGCTTGGCATATCTCAAAATAGCATATGTATCAGTCACTATTCAGCACTAGTACAAAGAATTTTAATGGTCAAAAGATTGCAAGCAGCACCAAATAGGATACAGTATGACGAAAGTCCATACTTATAGATTATTTCTTGATGCATCTATTACATTTATTGTTGTATTCTTCTTTGAAAAATAAAATATGTATTACTAATGGAGACTTTAATCTTCACTATCCATGTCCAGCTATCAGCAATTAAACGATATCTGACTTTGATTTAGTGCAATAAACAAGTTACCATTAATTTATCTGCCAAAACAAAGCAAATCACTGTAAGATCATTAAGACTTGTAGTACTGGTATTTTCCTGTATAAATGTTTAGATCGTGAGCAACGAGAGGAAGCGTAAGGAATCTTAGTAACATGAAAAAGAAAAATCTGCTTGCACCTAGGTAAGAGACAGCTATGTTTTCTTTAAAAATACAGCATTTTCAGCTACAACTGATTTTACACTTGTCTGAATTTTCTTTAAATGAAACTGCAAGTATTCACTCATTTGGCAATAGCCAAAGGTCCTCAATTTATCATCAACTGTTCCCAGACAGCAAATTTAATGCTTGTTAACATGGCATAGATAGGTTCAAATTTAGCATTTGTCTGATTGAATTTATGTCAATTTTATATTAAAATAAACATCTTTTTATACTGATTAACTTATATTAAAGTTACATTTCAGCTCCTATCCACCAGCAAGGATGAATTGAAGATGTCAGGGGTATTTTTCTGTTCTCACCTTTCTCATCCTATGTAACAAACACCTCACCGCCAAAACAAAATGAACTGTGAAAGGACTTTTAAATCCTTTAAATGCCTTGGAAATTTAGAAAAATCAAGAAAGGAATTATTCCATCCTTATTCTAATGTTGTTTGGACTTCGCTTGAATATTTAGAGGGAAGCAGTCAGAACGCATTTGCTTTTGACTAGGGCAAGACATCCCCAAACACAAAAAATCTAACTAGCTAGAATCTGGTTTTCACAGTAGTTCTTCTGGGAAGGTGCTAGACCTGGAATTAATAATAGCAACAATTTATGCAGATTTCCACATTTCTTGGAGAGTTCCCTAGGACTGACTTTGTCAATACTTAGGCTTGATAAATATTTCAAAACCCATACGCTTAAAAAGAACAGCTAGAAAAACTCTCTGGCACAAATGCTATTATATAAACAAAATCAGGGGGAAAAAAAAAGGGAAAAAGAAAAAAAAAATACATTGCTTACAATGTTTGTGGAACTGATAAGCCAGCAGCAATAAAATAGCTTTTGTTTTGCTACTATCTGCATTAGTTTTCCATGGTCAGAAAAATCAGTGACAATTTTAGAAACTTGTAAAGGCTTTTCAGGTGCCAGACGTCTTCAGATTCACCATGCCAAAGAACACAGATAACATGAGGAATCTTATTACTTGGGACCAATATCTTTGATAAAGTACGTGAAAAAATTTCAAAGTCACATAGAAAAGGTGCCTGAAATGACACTTGTGCAAAAATTTTGTAGCATGGCCTATAGGGCATTTATATAATGCAACAAGCATGCCAGATAAATGCTTTTGGCAAGAGTATTAAACATTGAACTACATGAAATATGCTAGTTAGCTGAAAGAAAAGTAAAACTTCTAAAGTCCATAAAACAATGTTGAAAAGAGAAATTATATTCAAAAACTCTATTTGAGGAAAAACAAAATAAAGGGTATCATAAATAAATTTTAGAAAGTGAAACAAAACAAAATGAACAATCTGCATATTTTATTTAGGTTTTATAAGCATATTTGCACAGGCAACAGGGATTTAAGCTGCCAGTTCTTAGTAGTATTTAATGTGAGGCAGTCACCTACCTCTACTATGTACCTCTGTACCTTTGAAAATTTCCCCTTCCTGAATTCACAGAATATGTTGAAACAAAAACATACCTTGTACTGTCTTTAGCTCTCCGTTTTTCTTCAATATATCTGTGAGTTTCTAATCTAGATTCCGGAGTATACGGTGTAGGCTCCTCCCAAAATCTTCTGTCTTCTTCATCATCTTCAGCTGTTCTCCATGTTTCTTGTTCTCTGCCTCCTTCTGCTTCATGATTTTCTTTGTTCTGTAGGGAGTCTGGGCTACAGAAGACCACATGGAATATTATCCCAAAGAAATGAAGGAAGAGTAACAGTACTTGCTAGTGAATTCTTGCAATAATATTTTTTTAACCCAATACTAATAGCTGTATAACTCCTACCAAAAACAGTATCTTATAGATTTGGATAATATTCTCTACGCTGCTTCTTTCATCAATTAACAAAACATGTTTTGACATAATGTTTTTCATCAGCTTAACTAAGAAGTGATACTATTGTCATGCTTAACTCTCTGAAAACCCTGATTGACAGTTCAACAGATTTAATTTCAGGAGCAGAATTTTCAGATACGCTCACAACTTTCAGATGAAAGAAAACCTTCAGTCCATGTGATGTTTAAGTATCCCCAATACCAGGCAGCAACAGATTAGAAATTTATAGGTTTGCAACGTTTTATTTAGGCATCTCCTCAAGTGCCGTCTTAGAACCTGAATCATTTTTTCCCCCTAGGTCTAAGCCACTGCAATCTTCAGAAATTGTCCATCAGTAGAGAGAGAAAATGAAATTTATGATACAGCTGTGATCTATGAGGACAAAGTTCCATAGCCAGCTCCATGGAACTTAGAGTCTATTGGATTAAAAAGAAGACAGATGGCAGTTGCAGTGGCAGATGACCCCAGACAAAAATCCTTCTGCTGATTAGGTAATCTCAGTGATTTGTTTGGTGGAAGAAGTATAGAAATCAACATTCCATAGCCTTTTACATCTCATAAGATCTGCAATATTCCAGTTCAGTCTTCATATCTAATAACTCTAAAGCAAAAGAAATTATGGGTCAACAGATGCTTTCTCTGAAACTCCTGCATTACCTTAAATAACAATTTTCAGCTGTGTTCCTGAGAGAAGCTATCAATTATACTATGCTGGCACCCAGACAATTTAGCTTGGAGTTTTCAGACAAAAATTCTATTGCACTGTCTGCAGGTCAGTTCTTAATTTTGTTTGTAATTAAATATGTTTTTAATTAGAGATAAAAAGCATGACGAGAAAAAATTCTGCTAGCAATAAAGACAAACAAAGATTTAAGTGGAATTATATAAACTATTTAATGAGGAAAAACAAAATTCTTAAGAATGAAATTTACTCACAACCTGTTGTTGTTTATTGTTACCTGTCAAATCCAAGCTTAGATTCCAGTTGTTTTTGTTTCTTGTCCTTTCTTTCTTGCATCCTTCTTTGAGCCTCTTCTTTTTCTCTGGCCCTTTTGAGAAGGTAAGCTTGTTCCTGTTCCCTGATTTTCTGTTTCACTTCTGGATAATTTTGAAGTGCTTGAATCCTCTCTGAACGTTCTATTTCTTTACTATCCAAACACTTCCCAAAGGGAAAAAAAAAATCAATATAGACATGTGAGAGATTTTAAAGATATTCAAATCAATAAATCCATTAAACTGTAGGGTAATTTTGACAGATTAATTTCTCTATAAAATTAAAATTGTGCCTTTCAAACGTCCATAGCACTATTTAAGATACACCATATTAAGAAGAAATAACAATAAATTGCCATTGATTTCTGAAAATGGTTTTGTGTGTCTGAGAGCTCCTTTTTGCATTTTCCAGGAATTTCAGTTCGTCTCATGGGACTATAGAATCATAGAAGCATAGAATCATGAAGGTTGGAAAAGACCTCTAAGATCATCAAGTCCAACCATCAACCCAACACCACCATGCCTACTAAATCATGTCCTGAAGTGCCGTATCTATACATTTTTTCAAACACCTCCAGGGATGGCGACTCAACCGCTGCCCTGGGCAGCCTATTCCAATGCTTGACCACTCTTATGGTAGTGAAATTTTTTCCTGATATCCAATCTAAACCTCCCCTGACTCAACTTGAGGCGATTTCCTCTCACCCTATCACAGGTTAGCTGGGAGAAGAGACCAACACCCACCTCACTACAACCTCCTTTCAGGTAGTTGTAGAGAGTGATAAGGTCTCCCCTCAGTCTCCTCCAAACTGAACAATCCCAATTCCCTCAGCCACTACTCATAAGACTTGTGCTCTAGAGCTTTCATCAGCTTTGTCGCTCTTCTGTGGACACGCTCCAGCAACTCGATGTCCTTCTTGTACTGAGGGGACCAAAACCGAACACAGTACTCCAGGTGTGGACTCACCAGTGCCCAGTACAGTGGGACAGTCACTCCCCTGCGCCTGCTGGCCACACTATTGCTGATACAAGCCAGGATGCCATTTGACTTCTTGGTTACCTGGGCACACTGCTGGCTCATGTTCAGCTGTCTGTCGACAAAGACCCAAAGGTCCTTTTCCGCTGGGCAGCTTTCCAGCCACTCCTCGCCAAGCCTGTAGCGTTGCATGGGGTTGTTGTGACCCAAGTGCAGGACCTGGCATTTGGCCTTGCTGAATCTCATACAGCTGGCCTCAGCCCATTGATCCAGCCTGTGCAGATCCCTCTGCAGAGCCTTCCTACCCTCGAGATGATCAATACTCCCGCCCAATTTGGTGTCATCTGCAGTAGAATATTAGTTGTAGAGAGAGTCCCTTCAACCTTTTCTGATATTTGTCTGACCTTGATTAAGCTACTGAAACTATTTGAAAAATTATTTCTTTCAAAGTGTTGGTTTATTGCCAACTAAGCGAACTGAATCTACTCTTAATAAGTTAAGCAAGTGCCTGTGCTTCTCCAAGGGAAATTGTGGGAGCTTATTTCAGGACTGGGACTGCCTGTTTTGATGGCAGGAAATCATTACATCAGTGCATCACTGCAAAAAACCTCAATCTCAAATCATCTATTTACAGCCGATGCAATATAGTGCATTTTTATATCAGTTTCTATCTTTCCACTGCCTTATGCTGTTTGTTTGGTACATATTCTTGGTACGGTACCAACAAGCTGGTAACTTTTTGCAATCATGAAAATAATTAAAAAAACATTGAGTGTATAAAAACAAATGAGAAAAAAGCCATAACTGTACACTGTGCTTATTTTTTCAGAACTTTGTTTAAGGATCTCCAATGAAAATGACAGAAAAGTTAGCAATGCTGGCTATTGATTTGGATATAAATTTAATTTTAAAAAATCTTACTTTTAATTGATGAAGAGTTGCTACCACAAACTGTCTATAACCTTCAAATTCAGTACATGGGTTACCCACTAGAAACAGTTCCTTCAGATGTATATTGTTTTTTAGGGTTTCAATACTGGAGAGTTCACCAATGAAATTTGCTGTCAGGTCAAGTTTCTTCAGTTCTTCACAACCTGTTTGAAAAAAACATAATTCAATTTGTCTGTAACATAAATGTACACATGACTACACACACACGCAAACACACACACACACATGCGCACACTTGGGTGCAACACTGTCTGCATTTGTTGTCTGTCTACTAATTTCATCTTATCAGAATACATCTTTTCCAAGCCACAAGGGAGAGAGAGACTCCCAGCTTAAGTTTATGAGGTCACAATATTTATAGAAAGAAAATAAATCTCAATAAAATACAGAATATGAAAACTTACTAGTGGTTTTATCATTATCAAAATACACTGCTTATATGCTAGATGAGCTGTTAAATGTTTTCTTTCTGGATAAGCTGGACTTCAGTTTTAACAGTCTGATTGCCTTGGTAATGCTCCTCAACTGAGTCTTCAACATATGGCTAAATGAGTGTCTAATTGCTTCAGAAGAGGAGGATCAATTATGGGTTTCATTTCTGTGTGCTGTTCATCTTAGCTAACATTATTCAAGCATAAAGATAAGGTTTTCTAAAAATTTTCTCCAAGTCAAGATGGGGTTTTCCACCCTATGGACTCAGCTGTTATTGTAAATACTTTATCACTGGTTAAATTGAAAATACCGGTGAGAAAATATTGATTGTTAACCAAAACAATTCATTATAAACAGAAACTCTAAATTAGCTAACAAAATGCTCTGAGAAATCCGGATCCAAAATTTATCAGCCTCTTCTATTATCACAATCTGTCCATGAAGCGTAACCTTGACACTAAGAGTAAAAAAGTTTAGCTAAGAGCAAGCTCAACTTCAGTACTCATCATTCTAATCACTTCTTCTCCTTTGCAGGTCTGCTTGTCAAGTATTTTATGCATAATGGAGCTGAAAGAAAATAAACAACTCAAAATGATTTATTAGGGGATTTAAATAACCCAAATTTTTGCAAGACCAAAGAACCCAAAAGTTCTGACTCCTAAGTAAATGACAAATCACAGTAATAAATAGTGCAGCCTGATAGAGAAACTTAAAATTTACTGGCATGAAAACAGATACACGTTTCTCAACAAATTGCCAAATACATAATGGGCTACCTATTTCTTCATCTTCTACAAATCTGTGTCTAGCCTATTTGCTTTTTTTTTTTGTGCATTGAATCCACCCTCTTGAATCAGCTTGGAGACTTAAAAAAAAAACCACCAAAAAACTCAAAACAAACAAAACAACAACAACAAAAAAACCCTGCTTTTTTTTTATTGTTCCCTTGTCAAGGTGGACATTTTAAAGATTCAGCAACTGGCCTGATCAGAATCAACAAAGAAAAAGAAATCAAAGCAGAAATTAATCAAATTATATGCAATGTGTTTATGGGTGGCTCTAACTGTTAGTTTTTGATCTTGGAAAATGCTAGATCTTTGTACATGCAATTATAGTGACAGAATAAAGGATTAAACACAGATAAAAGAGACAGGACTTCACGCAATGACAGAAAAAAGAATCCTCTGAAAAACTCTTTAAAAATACCCCAGACTGCCAATACAATCTGTACACAGAGCAGAACCTTCTTGTGTGTGACATTTGATTGCTGTAGTGAAGATGGCGGCTGAAACATTACACAAGAGAGACTTTTTACAGCCTGCATACCATTAAAAAAAAAGATTGCATTGCTCCAGCTAACCTGCGCAACAAATTATCTTATCTTTACAGTGGAGAAATACCAAGCTCATGAAAAATTTGGATTCCCACTTTGTAGAGTATTAAAGAATAGAGCTATCATAGCTGGCAACACTGGTGAGAGTATGCAAAAAACAAGCTAAAATACATTTAAGGAAGTTCAATGCCAAAACCGCAGCAGTAGGAAGCATTTGCTACAAAGAAGCATTTGTTGAAATGCTGCACCCAGAAAGGTTCTTTCTGAGTATCAGTGAAGTACCTTTACCGGTGGATATACTTAATGGCTTCCACCCTGTTTTACACGAGGTCACAACTTAAGCGTTTCAATAAGAAAAGCCAAAATGGTTTGTTTAAAAACTGACCTTGCAGATTTTCAATTCTTTCTATGTTGTTTAAAGCTACATTTAAATATTCCAGCTTCTTTAGTTTGCCCACATTTTCTGTAACAAAACACAGACATGTTATCTCATTTTTCTTCATTGGAAGGAGCATTATCATTTTATTTGCTCACTTTACTTCAAAGAAACAGTAAAGGAGAAAAAACAGGAAAGAAAAATAAAACTATATATCAGATCACTGGGCATTAATATTTTAATAAAAAGTCAAAACCAAAAATTTTCTGAAAAAACAAAGTAAAATTAAAAAGTAAAAAGAAATAAGGAACATTATAAACACGGTTTTTACCACAAATCCATAAAACAAGTATATAATGCAGGAGGACTGGCCAAAAAGCATGGTGAAAAATTCCATTTGTCATGAAACTCAGAAAGGATCAGGCCGTAATCATTCAAGCTTTGTAAACTTAGAGTTTTACACTCACTTACATAGAAAAGATTGGCTTCTTTAGTATGTATTTAATTTTTAAAGATCTTTTATCTACAGGATTAATACAAGAAACTTCTCCCTTTTTAAAAATTTTGCAAATAAGGATTTATATGGCTTCGGTATGAACAAAGCTGGGATCTAACTTGTACTATTTTCACCATGAACTACTGAAATTAGCAAGTTTGCACTGTGTGGGGTTGTGTCTGAATGGCCAGCATTTCTTCCTTTGAATACACAAAGGGGGGGAAGAGGGAATAGGGTAGCAATGATCTTCATCAGTCCCAAAAACTTCTGAAAAATGCAAATACCACTTGAGATACATGACACGCAGGTCAGAGACATAAATCTGAGACAAGATACTTCATATAACTTGTTTCACAGTTCACCAGTTTCTCCCCAGTCACCAGATCTTCCGGAGATCTGACTGGAAAATCTGTCCAATAAAGTCATAAAGTTTACCTCAAACTCTAATTCACAAGCTGCACTGATCAACTGCTGTACAAACTATCCCTGCTGAGACATACAAAGAAATTCAAGCGAAGGAAGCTTCATCTAACCAACACATATCATGTCCACAGTCAGGTTAGTTGTCTAGGCTCCTCTATGATCGATAAAGAGAAATGGGCTCTTCAAGGTGCAATTTGTCTTATCTTAAATTGGCTGTCTAGAACCAGTGAACCAAATCGTGCTCAGAAATACGCCTTTTCTTCACCTCTGGTTATAAAGGGAGGCTTCAGTAATTGCTTGAGACACAGATGTCTAATAGTTTGGTGACATGAATCCTACCACTTAGTTTACTAAGACCTTGCAGAGACATTTTCTCTGTAATTTGCAAACAGCAAGGACTTGTGCAGCTTAGGTTGGCTGTTCGTTTTTCTTGCGGTATTTCTGCAACAGCAGTGCCTGTACACATGAAGATGTGAGAGAGAAAAGTGTTGAAGCCAACGGCATCTTGTGGGGTTTTACCCATTTATGGAAAAGAAAAGAACCAGGACTCATCCATACTGTGGATGCCTTACAACCTGCTGTCTCATTAGTAGGCAAGTCTGATCTTGAGGGCTACATAGAGATTTTCTTTAAGAAGAGAAAAGACACATCCCAATAGGGTTGCTATAAACCATTCAGCTATGGTATTTTGAAGTGTCCTTGGACCTGCTGTGTGCTTTGCATGGACATGTTGGTATCCGCTGGGAAGAATTGCTTCTCAAATTCAGTACTTCGTAGCACAATCCCTGTTGGCAACCCTTGTGGTCACTACTCGTGTAATGAGGTTTTGTTTGGGGGTTTTTTTGTTTCTTACTAAGGCATATCTTGGAAAGATGTTACAATATGCAAGAATATATGAAGTAGGAAGTTGCATAATTTTCTAACTCCTACAGTTAGATAAAGTTAAGATAAAAACCGAGTGTCTCAAAAATGAGATTGCTGAAAAAACCTTGCGTCCAAGAACCAATAATCTGAACAGTAATATGAAATACTGCATCAACCTGCAGGAGGAATGTGTGTTGGCAAAAGAATGAGGTGAAGTCTTGTGCCTTACTAAGAACACAGTAACAGAGAGAAAACCAATTTCTTTTAGTCCCATTTTTGATGTGGCAGAGCACCACAAAGCAGTTTCAAAAAACTTATTTTCTCTGGGAGAAGATTCCTCTACCTTAAGAGATGCAGATGTTTCCAGTACAGACACAGTTTCCTGAAGAGCCCCTCCAGAGAATGTAAAGCCTTCGCCTGCAAGTCCTGAGCACAGAATTTCACCCTAGAACTTCAGATGTTTTTTCTTCCTCTTAAGGAACTTCAGAGAAATATGCTAATATATTTCCTGAGCACTTCTGACCTTCCTTTCTTCATCTACTCACTATCTGTAGTGTCTAAGCTTTCCCAACCCAAGGCTTGATGTTGTGTCTTTCCGTAGAGAGCCTAGCAAGCATGTGAACCTATACCACAAAACACAGACCATATGAAATGATACCTTCTCCTGTGGCGCAGGAGGAGTACTGAGACTTTGCTGTAAAAAGTTGTCCATATGCACAAAAGCAAGTGTTTTATCTGAATGAAAATTATGACAATGTTAACAAAAAATACTATTTCCATAAAAACTGAATTTAAAAATGAGCCTGAAGAGACCTAGTCCATGGTATATGCTAAACTGTCTCTCTGTTTGCCACTAAGATGGGATATTTACGTTATATCTTGATTTTTGATATTTTAATCAATAAAAGGTGTTCCATGATCATATTCTAGGGACTTGTATCTCAGTACTATCTTTTTCATTTAAAAATTCTCTTGCAAATTTCTGAACTTCTTAGAAATTTACTGAAGAGACAGGGAAAGGAAATCTTGTAGAGGCAGATCCACAAAGAATTTTTCTGTAGTTACTCACTCCACATTCCCTTAAAGAATAACACAACAGATACTTTTTTCTGAGTTCAAAATTATGTATGTAAATCCTTTTAAAAAGAAACATATCCAGAAAAGACTTACCAATTTTTGGAATTAGATTATTCTGAAGATAGAGAATTTTTTTCACAGTTGTTGTGTTCTGCACGTCTTCTAACAAGATCTTCAGTGACTGAAAGAAACATTAGATATCATATTTCCCTTTAGTCATTTTCTGCCATCTGACTTATAAACAACTTTTAAAATCATTAAACCCTTTTGTTGCACATACCAAGTAGATATCTGGTAGGAACACCAACAAAAATGAGATCTGCTAGGAAAGACATTAAGTACCAAGTAACCTCAGCCCACTCTGCCACAGTAAACATCATTTGTGAAACACACTCACGTCTCCTGTAACATTTAGAAAAATCCATACAAAAACTGCTGAGTCTTCCATAAGAGTGCAATACAACCCTTGCCAGAAATGAATCCAGCATCTGCTATTTTCAGAATAGCTCAGGTTGCACATTGATTCATGTAGACAAGCGGTGGAATGTTTCACACTCTTTTATTTCCTGATGCCAGATGTTCACATCACAGATAGCGGCGGGGGGAATTAAACTGGCTGCTGTGTGTCATCACATTCTTCCGCCAGCACAGTGTGCATAGAAATAAGCAGGATAAATGTTGAAAGTGGGCAGATATTTTTTACTTTTTTCATGCTTGAGGCAAAGTCATAACTAATTCATGCTTATAAATGTTTATGCTAGAATGAAATTTAATCATGGGCATTTCTGAGGCACTACCAGCTCATTAGCAGCCAGCAAAGGAGTTGCAGTGGCTGAAAAACACCAGAGACCTGGGTTCAGAGTTATCACATAGTAATATTTAATGCCAGGCAATCTTTCAAACAGTGAAAAGGCTCTGAAAAATGAAGGTAAAGAAATTCTACGAGAACAAGTGCTCACTCTTGAGCTAGACATTATTACTTTGTTTCCAGCCAACTGCACCAAAAAAACACTAGCATTTTCCTTTCTTTGACAAGCCATGAACTACAGTGAAGTACTGATTAAAAAAACGGGCTTTTATCAAATTAACATAGATATCTTCTTGATTGTTAATGCTGAAAAAAGACTAGCAAGGCTTTCAAAAGGACTCTGAAGTTAAATAATTGAAAAGAAAAAATATAGAGAGATCTGTGAAAAGAAATTATTTCTGCCATGCACAAAATAAAAGTATTCTTTCACCACTTCTTTGTCTCAGAGAGGTGGTGTGAAATCATCCACTGGTCCTGGAATGGCTGCACACATTCACACGGACTGGCTTGCTAACAGCTGGGTAAACTACATACCAATGCAGCCCAGACTTGCACGTGTCAGTGCAGTTCCTCTATCTACAGCCTTTGGGAAAGGGGTGAAAATGGTTTTGCGCATATTATACTATTGACAGATGACCAGGGTTAAATCTCCATTTTGTTCAATAAGAGCTTCATCTGACTTGATTTACAGAATTACATAATGGTGATACTGATATTGATGTAAGAGGCGATCCTCTCTGCACATAAAGCATATTGCGAAAGGTAAGTGCCTTTTTCTTTTTTACTCATGTTAATCTTTTTTAATCATGTGCAGGTTTGCTGGATCTGAACAAGCATCTTCTCTTCAACAGACTATTGATTAAACCTGAATAAATGAATAAAGAAAAGAGAAAAAAATAATGTCAATAATCGTGACTAAATATTTTACTCTTCATAGAAAATATGAAAAACACTGGCATTTCTAATAAGTCACTGGGCAAATCTGCTGGAAATAAAAAAAAATGGCCTGCTTATTAATGTGTTTGATGGCAGATCTTTCAGTGCCACTGTTTCCAGTGCAAACAGGTATTTCTGAGCAAGAAAACAATATTGCACAATCTGCACACATACACATTGGAGACAACATTATGCTCTGTACCGTCTATACAAAAAGAAGTTATGCAAACTATTCTAGACAGACTTTTATTACAGCCAGATTTCCCTTCACTGATGAAAAGAAAATTGAAGTGATTGTTGCTGTGATTATGCAAAAATGTCCACTTTCATTACCAGATGGTTTGCAAAACAGAGGCAATCATTCCCAATAGAAGCTGCAGTGGAGCTTTACAGACCTATTTTGGGGACCTGCTGTAGGCAGCTGAGTGAATATTTGACGTTTTGTATGCTACTTAGTTCATTTAAGAGGAGGGAATTTGAGGGAAACAAACTTGTAAGACGAAATAACAAATTTTAAATAAAAGTTTTGCCAGGATATTGATAAAACACATTGTAACGTTACTTCTCACTGAGAAGTTGATTAACCAGATTATCTGATGTTGCAGTAACAGGAGCATGGACCAGTGACCTGCGAGATCACAGCTACTCCCACGTTCCCATGAACACAGGAGTAAATAAAGGATGACATCAATCAACTGGAGGTAACAGATCTTGAAGATTTAACAGCTGGGCTTCCAAAAATTACACGTTTTACTCAAAAAGGAGCAGATACGAAGGAAAGCATTAAAGAAATGGAAAGAATAAGCAGATGGACAGCTGCAGACATATCAAGAAACAGTGTGAGGAACTAGCATTTCAGAAAAGTGAAGTATGCAGCCACTCTTTTCAGACTCCAACTCACGCCACGCCGTGCAGGAGATGAAGCCGTTCTCCTTCGGGCAGTGCCTGCTCGAAGCGGGCAGCCGCCAGCTTCACGCAGAGAGAAGGAGTTGCTTTCCAAAGCACGGGTTTAGCCCAGCGAGGGACCGGCAGTCCAGTGATGGTATACCATCAAAACAGATCCCAGGGGAAATCACAGAGGAAGGGAATTCCTCGGTAACTTTTTTCCTGAGCGATGCGTATGAGCACTCAGTCTTTTAGGTGATACTGCTTTACCTCTAAAAGGTTACGGATTCATAAGTAATAGTACGGTGTATTTTAACCTCATTCAGCAGTTTTTCATGTCTCTGATAAAGTGTCCTGCATTGGCTACCTCTACCTGAAGAAAAAAATTATTATCTGGTGTTGAAAATTTATAACTGCAGGGCAAGGGCAGCACCGACTGCTCCAGGCACAGACGGAGGGGTCCCTGCCTGGGCCACCCCACTGCTGGGCCTCTCGGGGGCTGTTTCGGGAGGCAACCACACCCCCGTGCTGAGCTCGGTGGAATAAAATGGGTTGTTACTACCAGGGAGGAGGGAAACCAGGTAAAGCAGCCGTGAGAGGAGAGCAGGGGAGGGGGGATACCGGGGGAGTATGGGGTGGCAGGGGAGAGGGAACATGGACAGGGAGCGGGGGACGTCCTGGAGAGGAGGGAAGGGGCCCCGGGGAGGGGAGGAGAGCGGCTCTCGGGGACACTCACTCCGCACCATGGCCGCCCTCAGCTT